CAGCATTGTGCTACTCGGCGGCTCATTGCCAGCTGTGGGACCACTGTCCCCAGACTGCCTGTGGTGCTCCTGAAGCCGCCTGCTGCGTGTGGCACGGCAGGAGGACAACACTGCCTGCAGCCAGTGGGTGCCTTGGTCCCGCTGCCACCATTTCCCACAGGGCCGTGAGGGGTGGGCACGGGGATGTGGGGCTGTGCCGGCCCTGCCGGCCTCGCTTCTTGGGCCACAGCTGCTTCCACTGGCTCGGAGCGGCCCCGCTCCAGCCTGAGGGCCGAGGCCTGTGTCCCTGGCCTGATCGCCGCTGTCGTGCTGCTGCAGGAGAGCTCCCCACCATGTTCCGGCTGCAGTTCGCCTGGGAGTCTGAGCTGAGCGTGAAGGGAGAGGAGCCGAGAAGTGACGACAGAAGTGTTCGGTACAGGAAGCAGAACAAAAAAACAATTAGAGCAAAAGCAGTGCAGGAAATGGGACCAGAGGTGCAAGAAGAGGCAGCAGGGACAGAGAAGAAGGTAGAATGAGCAGGAGGCAGCGAGAAAGTCTGGGCTGGGACTGAGCATCGAGTCTGTTGGATAAGCTTTGGAGGTGTTAAGAGTAATTAGAAGATTATTAGCCATATTACTGTTACTGTTTGTAAACCCCTTACTTTGTACCCCTGTCCCAAATTGCTGTACCCTGTGTTTCTCGTTCCTTGTTCAGCCAGGGCCTGCCCCCACTGCTCCTAGACTCCCACATGCCAACATTGTACCCCTGCCCCAAGCTGCTGTACCTTGTTCAGCCCTGAGGAGGAGGATGACATAAGGACTTTTATGTAAACGAGAGAAAGCAGAGGCTCATGGGACGCACACAGACTGGAAAAACCCCGAGACAAGGAGCCACACGAAAAGGAAGGAATAAAAACAGTACCATCAAACGAGGAGGACTCAGAGGAGTCCCCTGACTTCCCTCCAGAGGCCAACATAACCAGAGGGGACTCGACTAGGATGACACCCTAGACTACGAGGCCAAGAAAAAGAGTCTTTCTGGGGACTGCCTAGGAAGGAGGGCCCAGCTCTGCCCTAGTGACAAAGCTGCATGGATCCTTCTCTTCTGCGGTGTCCAGTGGGAGCAGTGGCGGTGTGCGTGACCCCTTGGGCCCCCACCCCAGAGCTGTACTGTTCAAAAAAGGCTTTTTTAAAAAGGAGCTGGTCTCCTGGCCCATTCATAACAGAGGGACAGCAAGCCTGAGAGGGAGTAGAAAAGAACCAGTATATAGCAAGAAACCAAGGCACAGGCAATTGGACAGAGCAACATGAAAGAAGAAAGCCAGGGGTGGGTTTTGCTGCACCCTGTTGAATCCAGAGGTATTTTCCCGCTGCAGTGCCTTGTGGGCATGTCATTTCCCTCAGAAGCAGCCAAGGCATTTTAGAAATGGCACTGCAGGGCATGACCCTGCATGCATCCCTCAGCTCTCAGTTCATATCTGCATATGCAGGGCTGTACATGTGGATGTCTGTATGACAAGAGTTAGTGGGGCTTGATTCAAAGGTTGAGGCAAAGCTCTCTTCTGGAAAGAGCCTTAGGCTGCCCTCTCAGGAGGTAGAAATCTCAGAGGCTGCTGAGAGGCCCATGAGAGACAGCCCAGAGGTGGAGCTGGAGCTGCTGTAGAGAGGAAAGGGTCAAGGGTGAGCAGCTCAGTGGTTCCTCTTCACCACTTCTAAGGGAATTGAATTGTCTTAGGACAGTCTACCACCTGAGCCAAAATTATACAATAACTCCCAAAACCCCACAGTGTCCAGAGACGTCTTTAAGCATTTCTCTGCTAATTGCTGCTGGAAATATCCTCCACACACACTGCAGGTGACAGCCTCAGAGAGCTGTGCCATGTTTCTTGGACAACACATCTGCTGCACTCACACCTCCAGCTTTGGCTGTAGATGGCCAAGTAGGAGTAGGCACAGGGAAAAGCCTGCAGGACCACAGTGAATCTGACTCACAAGCCCAGGACAGCAGTTCCCTGGTATCCTGGTTTCTTGCAGTGCCTTCCTTTCTTCATCTGAGATGAGCACTCTGTCACTTCTTCCCACCTGGCAGACCTTCTTCTTCACAATCTTACATTGCATCACTTTAAAAATCGACCAGGAAATACCAATATGTATTTTGTCTCATTCTTTAGCCCCTGAACCAAGTGTTGAGTCAAATCCTAAAACAGCAATTAAAACACCACGTGAAATGCTCCACTTACACAAGAAACTTCTTGTACTTTGCTACAATAGTGGTTTCCAGTGAAGCTGGATACCAGACACCTACCAAAGACATTCTTTTTATTCCTGTTCTCAGCTGGATGGGGGAGAGGAAATATTACAGAAGTTCCTGGATTGTGAAAAGGACTAGGGGAGATCGCGCATGGGGCAGTCCTTCAGGCAGCATCATAACTGTGCTCATGGACAAGCCTTTGCACATCTCACCAGCATATCCCTGTTCTGGTGCAGGAAAGCCTTGACAGCCTAGGAAAGCAGGCTGAGGCTGGCACAGTCAAGTCCCGCACTGCAGTGCATACCCCTCACAGCTCGTCTCACAGCTTCAGCCCTGCTCCCAGCTCTGTGCCTCCTACCCCAACAGAAACAGCCACAACAGGCAAGAATTTATTGCTTTTGGAATTAAGGTTATTTATATATTACCACTGAAATAATTACTATTTTCTAGTAACGTTAAGTATTACTGCTGGTACTGGCAGTAGTGACATCAGGATGATGTGGGCTGAGGTGAGTCCAGGAAAATCCAGTGGTCGCCTGAAGAGGCACTGTCAGCCATGGGAGCGATGGGTGGAGGTGAGGGGTCTGTGCCAAGGTACTTGTACAGCTGGGTGAGCACTGCTGCAAAGGTTAGAGAAGACTCCTCACAGATAAGAATTAAAAGCACAATTAAAGGATTGCACAATTAAAGAGGTTTCCATAGAGCACCGCTAGGAGCTGCCTTGGCACTCTAGCATAGCATAAATATATTATTACCCACAGAAAGGATACATTACTAAAGGGAAAGCCCACTCACGTGTGTCTGCTCAGCCAATATGACATGACACCAATCCGTATGCCAAGCAGCAGCACAGCCAAGGCTGCTGCTGTCCCTAGGATATAGTTCTTGCTCAGCTCACAGAGTCCAGCAGTCTCAGCTTTTTGCACAGTAGCTGACCCTGGAAGGAGAAAAGACAATGCAAGAGACAATGTTTGTACTCTGCACTAGGGATAATCTCACAGTGTGCTTCAGATGCCCAAGGATTCTTGTCTTCAGAGATCGGTTCCTCTGGCTCTGGTGTCTCAGCACCAGGGATCAAGGGAGATCCCATAAAGTTCTCTAAGAGAAGAGCCCAGTGTGTATCAGGGAGCAGCACTGCCCCTATCTTTTCCTCCGGGCTGCAGGCCAGGACTGTGTGCTGGGCACCTGCAATTCATCCATGGAGAGCACTGCTGGGATACAGCAGAAATGATCCTATTTCCCTAAGCAAACATCTCCCAAGCACTCACTTCCTGAATGTCTCTCGTGATGAGCAAGTGTGCTGGTATCTGTTACTGCTTCTTTTTCTTCATCTGTGCTTGGCATGGTGTTATTTTCTCTCAAGGGAAAGGTCTCCTTCTCCACCATCTCATGATCTGTCTCTTTAGAAAGAACATGGAACACTTTAAATAAAAGTCATTGTCCCTTACCAAGAGCATGGTACCATGGCCTGGGCAATTTGATAAGTGGCAGTGAGGAGCCCGCTGTCCCCAAAGACAAGAGGAATCCACAACCGGGTTTACTGCAATACAGCAAGAAATGCAGACCCAAACCACCCAAGACTCGGCTAACTGAATGACACACACAAGGAATTTCTTCAACTAAAGCCTCGTGCTTGAGGTGCAGCTTCAACCCATCCCTGCCTCTTTGTTTTGGATATGGCATCCATTCTGTGCGATGCCAGATCTGTCTCAGTACTGTGCTAAGTGTGAGGCAAACACAAATTCAGCACAGGCCTTTTCCCAACATCTGGATGCCAGTGTCTGCACACAGCAGCTCTGGCCAGTAATGGTACAACTGCAGCAGCAGCAGTAGCAGGAGGTGCCCCTGGTAATCATCTGGAACCACAACTGAGAGCAGACACTGTGCTCAGCCATCTCTATGGCTCACACTAGGAGGTGTGAAATGGAGTGTCCCTGCAGCAAAACTCTGACTGAGCGCTTCTGGCTGTCCAGGATACAGCACTGCCATAAAGAAAGCAGAAGCTCAGCTTCCCAGGTCCCAGGTTTAACTGAGTGGGATATACTAACCAGATGCAGATTTCACCAATGCTCTTAGAAGCCCTCTTGGAACCACAGGTATCTTCTGGTAATCCCTCCCTATTAGATTTATAAAAGAACATTTAGAGACAAAGGTCCATTTTTCATGAATAGCACAAGGAAAAGGAGTGCTTATTCAACTGACTGCTCACGTTTGAGATACCAGCTTGGAATCAGCATGGAATCTACTTCAGGAGTTGGAGGTGAATCCTTTCTGTCCTCAACTAGAAGTAAACACTCACAAGAAGTTACCATCAGATGCACTGCCCTCATGGTCACACCTCAAGACCTGAATGTGGAAGGTGCTGACAGGGCACACACAGACAGGCCTGCATTCTCACAGCTGCAGGGAGGTCTGGCTGCCCTTGGAACACAGCTGCAGCTTGCACATGAACTTCCCACACTGTAGTGGCTTCCTGGCTCAGCCAAGCCCCAGTCCTGGCCCCACTGCTGCCAGCCAGGGCTGTGTGCTGGCCCCTGCCTGCCTACCTGCTCCCTGCTCAGGTATTTGAGTACTCTGGGTGTTCTGAGCTTGCAGGGCCAGGAGAAAGAGGAGCAGGAGGTAGTGGGTCAGGACCATGACCCTGCCTGCTTGTAACATTCTGCCTCCACTGTCACTGCTGCAGTGTTGCCCAGAGTTGCATTAAAGAGCAGAGTGGGGCTCTGGAACCTCACATCAAACGGGGCTCTGTGATCTCATAACGAGATGGAATCTTTTAACTCAGCTCAACATCTGATCCTTAGTCCTCTGCCAGTGCTCCCCAATGTATGCCCATATTGGCTGTCAACTCCTGGACCTCACCTCTATTCAATTCCCTCATTCTGGACAGGCCTGGATGGAGCACAAGTAGAGAATGGTGCAGGTATTTTGGGAGGCAGCACTGTTAATAGGAATGTAATGTTCTTATCTTGCCGCCCAGGAATCCCTATCAAAAGCCCCATATTGTGGTGGTGCATTTTGTTAATGTAAGTTTTACATACGGTTTGTCCCAGTTACTTGCCCCGCCAAAGGGGAATGGTTCTACCCCAGGTTATCTCCCCCTTTCCTTAATGTCACTCACCTCAAGACCCTTCCCTATTTTCCAGAAAATTCTGTGCCAGTCTGTCCCTTGACCAATCACCCTAAGTTCCCAGCTGCCCATCATTGTAACCCAACTCCTTATTCCAGGCCCATCCCTGTCAGTCCCACCTGATACATACTCTTCATTCTAGAAACCTCCCTGTCAACCTCCAAATGCTGGAAACCCTATTGGGTAATAAAAGTTTCTCCCTCTCCAGTGTAACCCTATTGGTTTGTGGCTTCCAAGACCCCACCTCACACTCCTCCCCTAAGGTTCCCCAGTTAGTTGAAGTTTCGTACCCTCCCTTTTATCCTCTACTGCATATAAGCTGCTGTACCTCTGTGTTTTGGCTTCTTTGGTCCCTGACCCCCCTAAGAATAAACTCTCTGTATTTCATACCGAAGACCCTCTCTTTCTTTTACCCTAATCCTTGGTGCACCCCATACTACCTTGAGCTGTAGGGCATTGTGCCCTAGCCCACATTTTCCCACAAGCTGTCCTCTGGATTGCCTGGCTCTCTGGGGGCAGCCCACTCTTGTCACAGTGCCAGGAGATGGCCGGAAAGGAAAACGTCTGACGCTACAACACCGTATGAAGGCTGCATTAAAAAACCCAACTGCAAGTGTCTTTCTTTGGTACTATTTTTGTCTATCAGCATTGTGGCAGGTGTTGCTTTCCACTGACGGAAACTGAGAAGAGTTCTTTAAGAATTAGATGGTCAAGAACAAAATTAAGGCAAACAAGGCAAACGTTGTATTTGAGAACTGTTTCTTGGTAACAAAGGGAGTTAGCATAGCAAAATTAAATGCTCTTTTTATTGCCATCTTCTCCTAATTTCTCACCTGCAATGGCTTCAGGGCTTCACCTCTTCTAAAGACCTCAGTTCTGCAAGGTGCTGAGCAACCTGGAGCTCTTGTGTAATCGGAAATAAAGCCTGAGTCTTAGTGCCATGTCTTTGTGTTTGCAAGTAGTAAGTTAGCTTGCAGGGCTTTGAATACTGTGGGAAAGAGCCTAAGTCATCATTCATGCCTGGTATTGTGATACTATCCAGCACACTGCCTAATCAGGCTGTTTTCTTCATTGTTTTCAGGTATGTACAGCGAGCTGCAATGATTTTCAGGTTTTCTTCAGCCATAAGAAAGCATTTGCCTAACCTGGTTGCAACAATAAGCAGCCCCTTTATGAAGATGCTATTCAACTTGAACTTCAACTCAGAGGAATATTTTCATTCCTGTTACCTGAATGCAGTTTTGCAGACCTTCATGGAAAATAGTCTGTTCTGATGTGGCCTATTTACTTCATAAAATAGGAAGCCACAGTGGTTTTATATATATTTGTCTGTACTTAATCTTATGTAAGAGTCTGACAGTGGTTTCATTTTGTTACATTTTCTTTTCTAGGTAAGGTGGCAGAAATTGGGCCCAGAAGCTGAGGTTCTCAGTTTGCTGACAGAAGGAACTCTTGTTAGAAATAAGGACATTATTAGAAAAGAGAGAAAAAATGAGGGCTGGATAAAATGGAATGGGAAAAGAATCAGATAACTAATTTGTTACTGAGATTTGGTGCCTGCAGCACCTACAGTATGCCAGCTACCAGTCACAGGCGAATCAGATAGGGTGTGCCATCTGCAATATGGTAAATTGCTTTTTAAGTGGCTCCCCAGAAGCTATTTAAAAACTGGCAGACTATGAAGGACTCACAGCTCATGAACTATTTCAAATCTTTTAACTGGTCAGACTTGCCTTCTCCTCCCATATTTTCAGGTCAGGTAGAACTGTTTAGAGGGTGGGGTGTGTTTAACGAGAAAACACAAAGCACAAACCAAATGTAAACTATAAAAACCGGTTGGTTTTGTTCCATCCAAAACATGTACAAGGAGGTGGCTCTTCTTCACTCAGGAAAAATGAAGCATCATCCTACCAAGTGCTGTTAGATGCCTATTAAGCAGCTGACAAAACACTTGAGGAAAAGGTGTCCTTAGATACTTTTAACTACTTAGAACTCCTCAGTATCACAAGTGCATAAAAAATATTTCAATTATATGAAATCCAGTCCTACGCTGTGTCATTAGCTATCCAGAAAGTCTTGACGTATATTGGCCTATACTCTTGCATTTCCCCAGTCCAGACCTTCACTTTGATTACCATACAGAAAAAAATAGGAAAAGTTTTGGGAATGCCTTTTCTAAGTGGGGGAAGAACTACAAAAGTCAGTGAATGGGCAAAGATACCACTGCTGTATGTGCTACGTAATACAAATGTCTCATCTTCCAGAGTATACCTCCAGAGAAACTTAAAGACTCATAGTGAAGAATGCATTATCCATGACTGGTTTTTTCACACCAACTACTTGTACAGAAACATCTGTCATGAACAGCAATTACAACAAAACTAAGACTTAACCTGAGCAGTAGATTCCAAGAGTAATCTGTAAGGCACCCAAGCAAACTGGCAAAATACTGTGGAAACATCCCAGTGTGACCATTCAGGAGGTGCTCTGGGGTCCACACTCATGGTGCCAGAGACTTTCACTGCCGGGACCCTTTCACCATGGGAGGCTCCCATGACCCTGTTGTCTGTATTTTGTTTACAAATGGTTTGTTCTGTTCCCCTCTGTGTTGTTAAGTTATACATTCTTACCCTAGATGTCTATCTTACCCTAGATCCATCTCTTTCTCCTCCCACCACCTGTCAATTCTCCCTTATACCAGCCCCTTATTCTAGAAAGTCTCCTGTGAAGTCCTCCTTTTGTGCCCACCCCCTGTTCTGGAAATCCCCTAATACTTGGTGTCTCATTGATTTGTTTTAATTGTTCCCTCCCCTTGTGTTGTCTTACTGGTTTGTGAGCTGTTCATTCCATCCTGTGATCCTCCCCAGTGTACACCTTATTGGTTGAAAATTTTACCCTCCCCCCGAGACCTCCTATGCATTTAAATCCCTGCACAGTTTTGTTTAGCGTCTATTGTACCTGGACCCTTCCTGAGAATAAACCCTTTGGGAAACTGTTATAAGTAACCTTTACTAAGTTTGAGAAGTTAATTAAAGCTGTTATTACTTAAGTGTTAATTGAGGTTGATATTACATGATACAAAAGTTGTAAGAAATAAATGTTAATTATGTCTGATTATAATGTAAGGTTGTCAAGTTGATGGTAAATATTAATGTTTATTGCTTATTTGGGTTGAGACTGGGTTGGGGTTCAGTGGTTTGAATATGGTGGGTTAGCAAGGAATATCGGGGGTTGTGGGGGCTTGGTATAGTAGAAGAAAAGAACATTCAGGAATGTGAGGTAATAAAAGTCATGTCACTACCTTGAGCAATGATTGGAAGAAGCATCCACCAATCGCACAACGCATTGAGAAAATGGTTGGACCAGGATGAATGCCATTAGATACCAATCAAGACCTGGGAAAGAGACCAATCCTGAAGAAGATTCAAAACCAGACCAATCAAGGACTAGGGGAAGGGTATAAATTAAGCTGGCTAATGCAATCAGGGGTTTTATGTTGTTTTTTTTTTTTTCTCTTGGGACCTTTAAGTTACTGGGCTTGCAGCGTGGGGCACGCAAGCTTAGCTTGGTCTCTCTTCGGCAGCATTTTTAATGAACAAGCTGGACTTTACTCTTTCATCAGAAGTCTCAGGTCTCCTTCTAAACAATTCTGGGGTCTCGTGTGGGATAGCCAGCACCCTAAAGTGGTCCCAGCGTAAGGCAAGACTGGGGTCACGCATCCAGCTTTTTTATTTGCTGCCTGATCTTGGACTATGTCAGGATCGTCGTCGGATTTGCTGGCTATACCCGGGGCTGAGGACAATACTACAATACTACAACCCGTAGTTTAAGGATTCTCTGAGAGTGAGGCTCCCGATATGCTGGTAAGTGTCAGAAGTGGGGTTTAAGGTAAAAGGGGGGTGTGAAGTGAGTGAGTGTGAGATGGAGGCTGTTAGTACAGACTCCTGAAGCAAGTGTGGACCCCTTAGTACTGAGTTTTCAGACTCCTACAAGAGGGCCAGATGGGAACAGGGAAGTGAAAGGTAACTCTGTGTGCACCCTAGGGAACCCCAGGGAGGGGGAGATGGGGAGTATACTCTCTCCAGCTGTCCTTACTCACTAAAGCTCCTGCTCCTCCCAAAAGAGAGGCTCCAAGGGGTGGGTCCAGCCTTATCTCTGAGTTAGAAATCCAAGGGACTCATAGGGAAGCCTTTTTATGTCCTTCCCTGAACTAGGAGTCCAGGGAATTTGTAGGGGGAGGCTGAATTATACCTGGAGGGTGGTTCCTCAGAAACAGATTATATCAAGTCCACTGTCTGGGGAACTAGGATTCTAGAGTAGGAAGAAAAGACACCTACCTGGGGACCACCAAAGAAAAAGGGGGCCCTCAGATAGGTGAGTGCCTCTCTTTTTGACAGGGGGAGGGTATCTACTCTAGGGGAAAGGTAGGGGCCCACAAGTTAGAAATCCACAGGGTTCATAGGGGAAGTTTTCATAGGAACACTTCCCTGAACTAGAAACCTAAGGGATTTGTAGGGGGAACGCTCATACCCTACGGCAAGGTGACTCCAAAGGCCCGAATTAGAAACCCCAAGGGAGTTCGTAGGGGGAGATCCACTTCCCCAGTCTAGGAGCCCAAAAAGGGGCTTATAGGGAGGAGCCACCAGCTGTGAGAGGGTCTTCCCAGTCATTAGGATTGGGAGGAATGGTTTAGAACCTGTCTGGATAGGGAATTAATCCATTAAATTAAAGATTAAATAACTTTAAGTTTATGCTTTCACTGACTTGTAAGCTATTTACCTACTGTTAAAGTAATTAATTAATACCAAATACTTAGTTCATTTGTTTATCAAGTTGACCATTCAATTTTTATTGAATTGCTTGTTTACTGGGGTTTGATACATTGAGTTGTGTGTCATCAGTTAAAGTTTAATTTGTTATTGGTTTAACCTCTTGTTTCCTAAGATCTATCAACTATATTGTCCTTTAGGAATTATTTTATTAGTGATTGATACATTGAGTTATTAAATTGAGTTGCTTGCCAGCAATGAAAAGATTTGGTTTGTTATTAGTTTATTTGCTTATTAATTAATCTTGATTAATTAAATTATCCTTTAGTGAGATTTTTAATTATATATTTATTCTTATGGGGTTGCTTATTATCAGTAAAGGTCAGCCGTTCTCATATTTGGTTGTCACTGGTTTAGAAATCGTGGGCACCTGAGGAGTGAGGTTCTGGGGTAAGAGTTAGCCAAGAGTCCCCAGACCACTCCTCAGGACAGAGACGGAGGAGTCTGCTGTTTTGTAAGCTCTCCGTTGTGGAAGGCGCCATCTTGGGGAAAACAGAGTGAAGAGTGGCAGCCATTTTGTAAGAGATTAAATCCTTCTTTGAGGAAGAAAGTCCATTATTATTAATTCCAGCTAAAACCTGTCCTTTTCATTATATTTCCCCACAAATGTTGTATCTAAAAATCTGTCATCTCCAATCCATTTCTCCTACGTTATCTTTATTTTCTTAATTCACCATCTTATTCTGTATACTCTGCAGTCTCACTTTAGGGATTCTGCCATTTTGTTTCCTAAGTTCTGCCATCTTTATTTTTTCCCGTGTTTCGTCTTTTTTAGCCATCTTTACTTTTCCCATGCACCCTTTCTGCCATTTCTGTTTTTCCCATGCCATCTTTCCTTATTTCGCCATCTTATTCTATAAACCCCGCCATATTATTTTATAGAATCCATCATCTTAATTTATGAATTAAGCCATCTTTGTTTTACACTTCCTTTCTGCTATTTCCGTTTTTCCCACGCTAACTCTCCTTTATTCCGCCATCTTACTTTATAAACTCAGCCATATTATTTTATAAACTACTTCATTTTAATTTATAAATTAAGCCATCTTTCTTTGTTTTACACTCCTTTCTGCCATGTCTGTTTTTTCCCACACTATTTTTCCCTTATTCTACCATCTTATTTAAAAATCCGCCATATTATTTTTTAGAATCTGTCATTTTTTGCTACACTTCCACCATCTTATGTTGTGGTGCACTGTTGTTCATTATATTTGGTTCAATTGCATTCTTTATTGTTAATTTGTCCCCCCCCCACCCCATGTTTATACTTTGGTTCCAGTTGTGCCCTCCTACCCCAGTTGTCAATCCACCCTGATACCTGCCCCTTGTTCCCGAATGTTCCCCGTTCCGCTCCCATTGAGCTGTCAATTGTCTCCCTTGTGTCAACCCCTGCCTGGACTGTCCCCTTTGGAATTCCCCTATTCCTCCAAGCTCCATTGGCCCATGTGCCCCACGCTCCTCCCCTTTTTTTCACCATTTGTTTATATATTATGTAATCCCGCCTTGTGCTCCTCCCCTAAGTCTTCACTGTTGTACACTCCCCTTGCTCCTCCCCCATACATAAGTTGCTGTACCCCCATATCTTTCATGTTTCTTCCCTGGAACCTTCAAGAGAATAAATCCCTTTTGGAAGCCACATGGAAGACCTCTCCCTCATCCTTGCTCCTGCCCTCAACGCTCTACAGCCAGTGCCATGGAGCATAAGCCCTAAGCTGCCCTGCTTTCCAGGAGCAGCCCATTCTTGGCTCGGTGCCGGGAGCTGGCTGGAGAAAAAATCGGGTACCATGTCAATCATGCCATTTTTGTTTTTCCCATGCTTCCTTCTAGTTATCTTTATTTTTCCCAAGCTATCATCATTTAAGGGTATGCCATTTTACATTAAAAGTTTTAACACCTTTATATTTACCAGCTAACATTTATTTTTTCCCTCTTCTCGTGAAGCAGTCAATTATCTGAGTAGCTGGGCCATGGAATAGTGTGGTAGTAAACTAATGGGCAGGTCAGAAAGAAGAAAGACTCTGTCAAAAGATATCCCTCCAAATAGTCCCTTGGGAGAGATGGTAGATTGATGGGATAGGGACACCACTTTAAACAGTCTGGATAAAATAAAATGATTGAATATTGTCTACAGATTTGTCCAAAAGAAAGTATCACAGAAGGCCCTATATATTGGCTATGGTATGGGTCTAAAGAAGAATGGATGTACCTGGCACTGAACAAGCATATTGATTTAAAGATAACTCAAGGGGAAGAAGAAATAAAATATGCGGCACGTTGGTTAGAGAAAATAGGAATGGGAAAAAATAAGTGAAGTTGTTTAAGGTGTCTCAGGAACAAGATGAGTGTAAAGGAGAAAAATCTATTAAGGAGAAAAATGGGATCCTTTGGATCAGCTTCCTTCACCACCTTCTCCAGCTATACCTATAGTACACTCTCCTCCCCCACCTTCAGCAACTCAATCCCAACCTGCATCCTAGCCTGCTTGCTCTGTTCCATCCCAAATTATATCTGAACCCCAATACTCACCCCTTTAGAAAACACAACTGCTACCAGCTTTAATTCTCCCTCCGTTCCCTTAACACCACACCCTTTTCCCCTCCCTTTGGAACCTATAGCACCCCAGACCCAACTGATATCTTTACCAAAATATCCTTTTCAACCCCAGCTCTTTACTACACCACTACATCCACCCATACCCGCACCTGTAGAGTCTACTCATTCTGTTTTCCCCACAAAGGATATTTCATCTTTGGCTCCCTTAAATCCCTTCTTCATGGAACCCACACCAAAACTTCAAATTTTTTTGTATGTGTTTCCCTCACACAACCTTCAACTACTCTAGTAGCTGCACCTGGTTCCTCAAACCTGCAGCGCACCTCTCAAAATATACCGAGGCTCATATTGGCCCCAAATACATTCCAGCATATTCTTTCATATTTTCATATTTTCCTCATATATCCCAACCTGTAAATGGTACCTTAGAAGTACAGAATAGAAAGGAAACAAAATTAAAAGATTCGGTGTTATTGGATCCACCGAGAGTAGGAGAAAATTGTTGTTGTAAAACCATGGGAGTAAGTGGACGAGAAAAACAGGATGAGGATTTAGAGGGTCATGCTTACAATACAAGATTACAGGCAAGAAAGAACAAAAATAATGGGAAAAAAATTGAGAGGTTGTTGCCATTAAGGGAAGAACCTATGGGAGGGACTTGGGGAGGAACTGGTTTTGTAAACATTTCACTTACAGCTTCTGAAGAATGAAACTTCAAGAAAGAAATAAAAGGTCTATTGGAAGATGCAATAGGCATTTCTAATCAACTGGATCAATTCCTAGGCCCAAGTATTTATACCTGGGAAGAATTAAATTCAGTTTTAGGAGTACTCTTCTTCCCCAAGGAAAATCAATTAATCTGGGCAGCTGGCATGCAGATTTGAGAATGAGAAAACGGAACTGGCCCAAGGGGTGAGAGAAAATGCCCCATAATCCACTTGACTGGGACCCAAATGAGGAAGAGGGGAGGAGAGACATGAGGAACTATAGGTCATTAATTATTAAAGGAATAAAGGAAGCTGTACCCAGAACCACAAATGCAAAATTGGCCTTTGGTAACCAAAGAAAAGGATGAAACCCCAAGCACCTGGTTAGAAAGGTTAAAAATAAATTTTCAGTTATATTTCAGCATAGATCCAGAGAGTCCAGAAGGGCAGGTATTAGTTAAAGTTCAATTTGTAACAAGAGCTTGGATGGACATCAGAAGAAAACTGGAAAAACTATATGATTGGCAAGAGAAAGTCTAAAATGCACTATTAAGGGAAGCACAAAAAAGTATATCTGAGGAGAGAGGAGGAAAAGACAAAGACCAAAGCGAAGATGATGGTGGCAGTTGCAAGGGAAAGTATTGGAAATGGAAAAGATGGAACAGCTGAGGAGCCAGCAAAGGATAGGAAAAGGGAACCAATGGGAGATGAAAGAGGAGACCAAAATAAAGGAACGAAACTAAAGAATGGAGGTCACCATGGGTGAACATAACCTGTTACTATTGTAATGAAAAGGGACACACCCAGCGATTCTGTAGAAGGTGACAACTGGATGAGAGGGGATTGCTAGGGAATAGGATGTTTTAGAAAGAATAATAAGAGGTGATGATTAGGGGTGTCAGGGGCTCTATGCTCTGAGGGAAGAATTTGAACACCAGAAAGAGCCCCCGGTAAACCTGGAAATAGGCCCTCAGAGCAACGAATTTTTAGTAGAAGAAATATTTTTTAGTAGACACTGGGGCAGACAGATCAAGCATAACTGAGATTCCAGAAGGATATGAATTAAGTAATCACAGATGTACAGTTAAAGGTGCTGAGAACAACCCATTTAAAACATCCGTAATAGAAAAGGTCCAGTTAAGAGGAAATTTTCGAGAAGGGTGTGTTGATTTGTTATATATGCCTGATTTGGAATGTAATTTATTAGGTCAAGACTTGCAAGTTCAATTAGGAATAGGGATAATACCTGAGGGAGGACGTATGGTGGTTAAAATTATGGTATTAGGAGAAGGGGATGAAAAAGGAATAAATCCAGTGGTATGGGAAGAGAAGGGCAATCATGGACTGTTAAATATACCCCCTGTGGAAGTTAACGTGAAACCCAATACACTGTCAGTAAGAGCCATGCAATATCCCTTGTCGGCAGAAAGCTGACAAGGGTTAACACCAATAATTAAAGAATTGGTTGAAGAAGGAATTTTGGAACCATGTATATCCCATGCAATACCCCAGTACTGGCAGTTAAAAAGCTAGATGGCACATACAGACTTATTCAAGATGTAAGGGAGGTAAATAAGCAAAAAATCACTCGTTATCCCATAGTAGCTAACCCATAGGTCTTGCTAAATAACATATCATTTGAACACGAGTGGTTTAGTATGGTAGATTTAAAAGATACCTTTTGGTACTGCCCTTTGGCTGAAAGCAGTCGAGAATGGTTTGCTTTTGAATGGTGGAATGAAGAAACTGGAGGTAAACAATTACAGTGGACAAGGTTGCCCCAGGGGTTTATGGAGTCACCAAATTTGTTTGGTCAAGCCCTAGAGAAGTTGATGGAAGGGTTTACACCGGAAGGGAACACAAGTCTTACAGTATGTGGATGACTTATTGATCTCAGAGAAATTAGAAAAATAAGTCCAAGAAACCGCAGTTAAAACTATTGAATTTTCTGGCAGAGGAAGGTTTAAAAGTATCCAAAAAGCAGTTACAGTTACATAGGTAAAACATTTAGGCCATTTAATTGGTAAAGCATATAAAAAACTAGACTCTAATTGGATATGGGGAACAATACTGTTACCAGCACCCAAAACTAAAACAGATATAAGAAAATTACTAGGATTAATTGGGTATTATAAATTATAGATAGAAGAACATACAAAGTTGGTCAAATTTTTGTATGATAAATTTATAGGGGAAGAGCCAGTAACCTGGAATGACGATGATGAAAACAAATTAAAGAAATTGAAAGAAGAATTAGTAACTGCCCCAGTACTCAGTACTTCTCTTTCATCAAGAAATCTCAGGCCTTGTTTATAACAGTAGTGATTTGTGGAGGCACAGGAGCCAAAGGCAGTGATGGTGTGGAAGGAGGCCTCTAAGGTATGAACTCAAAGCATGAAAGGAAGGTATTCCCCCACATAAAGATAGTAAGAAAAAGCTTTTCCCGTAGTTCTTTGCACCCCCATTTTACTTTACTCCAGGTATATGTAGCCATTTAGTCTTGAGCTGTCATTCCCCTTTTTACCTTACATGTCCTCTCCCTAGAAAGTTCTCCCTTCCCTGTTTCTCCATTAGCCCTAGTTTGTTGCAATCCTCTGCCCCTCTGATCCCATTGTCTCTCCCTCTCCTTGTCTCTGCCTATGCACCATTTTACCCTGTTCCTATTGGACCCTGACCCTCAGATCCACCCCCTCAAGCCCATATATATCTCTGGACCCTCCATTGCTCCCTGTCTTTGTTCCTGGACCCCTTCAGTGTGTGGTTGAAATAAACCCCACTGGAACTCTATACAAAGACCCCTTCTGGCTCTCTGCTGTCATTCAGCTATCTGTGGCGTGTCTGTGTGTGTGTGCATGAGTGTGATTTTGGCCTTCCTAGATGCTTTCCTCTCTGGAGGCGCTTTTGGGAAGGTAGCCCACCTGACCACCTCCACCCGACGCTACAGCTACTCCTCCATTATTTGTGGAAGATTAATGAAATCATTGAAGACATGGGGTCTCTTCAACCAGGCATTCCTTCCCCTTCGATGTTCCCCCAAAATTGGAATCTGGCTGTGATTGACATAAAATGTTATTTTTCAAATTCCCCTACATCTGGCCGATGCCCCACAGTTTGCCTTCTCAGTTCCTTCTGTAAACTGGGAAGCTCCCATGAAGCGCTGCCACTGGTGGGTGATGCTGCAAGTGGTGATGAACAGCCTGACCATCTGTCAATGGTATGTTGCCAAAATATGGTCTGTGCCAAAGTGAGAGAGGTCATCATCCTACATTACATGGATGATGTGCTTGTGTGTGCCCCCAATAACCAAATGCTGCAATCGGCACTGGGCATGACTATCAATACCCTGGCTGCTGCAGGATTCTGAGGAGGTACAGCAGATAGCTTCTTGGAGGTATTTGGGCCTTGAAACCACTAACAAAACCATCACACCACAGAGGCTGGTGATCAATGACACACCTTAGACTTTGAGGGATCTCCACCAGCTGTGTGGGTCCTTGAATTGGGTCAGGCCTTGGCTATTACCACTGAAGTATTACCACTGAAGACCTAGCTCCCCTTTTCAATTTATTGAAAGTGGGAGAGGGGTTGGATTCCCCAAGGATCCTGACCCAGGAGGCTGACAGGAGGCAACAGACATTGGAGAGAGTTCAATCAGTACTGTCATGCAGGCAAGCCTATTGCTGCCAGCCAGACGTCCATTTTAATTCCATCATTCTGGGGAAGCTGACACACCTACATGGGCTGATTTTTCAATGGGACAAGGGCCAGGGAGGCCTGCTCTTGATCACAGCGTGGGTATTCCTTGGTCACCAGTTTTCCAAGAGTATTACAAGGCCACAAGAGCTGATGGCCCAGCTGATTTGGAAAATGGCATGGTTGTGTATGTTAGCAGGGTGTGATTTCACATGTATTCACTTGCCGATAAGATTAACAACTGGGAGATTAACAAATGAAGTGCTGGAGCATTTGCTCAGTGCAAATGAGACTCTTCAATTTGCTCTAGATAGTTACCCAGGGCAAATTTCAATACATAATCTGTCCCACAAATTATTTAATGCAGCCTTCTATCTAATTCCAAAAGAAAAGCATAGCCATAAGCCCCTCAAAGCTCTGACAATTTCTACTGATGCATCTGGAACATACCGTAAGTCAGTGATAATTTGGAAGGATCCTCATACTCAGCAGTGGGAGACTGATGTTGAAAAGGTTGAGGGTTCTCCTCAAGTTGCTGAGTTAGCCACTGTCATCAGGGCTTTTGAGAAGTTTATAGAGACACTCAGTTTGGTAACTGACTCGGCCTATGTAGCAAGGGTAGCATCTACAGCAGAACATTAAAGGAGGTCTTGAACCCAGTCATCTTTGAGTTGCTCTCAAAATTGATACATCTAGTCTCCCACCAAGTGCAACCACATTATATGATGCATGTGAGGTCACACACTGACCTTCCTAGCTTTATTGCCAAGGGTTATAGAAGAGCAAATACCCTAGCCACCCCAGTGCAACTGGCCAACCTGCCCAACATCTTCTAGCAGGCCAGGCTGAGCCATAAGCAATTCCAACAAAACATCCCTGGTCTCGTGCACCAATTCCATCTGTGGCGGGACCAGGCAAAGGCGATCATGGCAACATGCCCTAACTGCCAAAAGTCATCTATACCATTTTTAGGCTCGGGTTGCCTAAACCCGAGAGGCTTTGGCAGTTGTGAAGTATGGCAGACTGGTGTTACCCACATTTCCCAGTTCGGGAGAGTAAAATATGTGCATGCATTGGTTGACACCTTCTCTGGTACTGTTTACTCCTCTGCCCACACAGGGGAGAAGGCCACTGATGCATAAAAACATTTAATGTAGGCCTTCTCTGTGCTGGAGTTCCCCAAAGTTATAAAGACTAATAATGGCCAACACATACCTCCAAAGCTTTCAATGAATTTCTGCAGCAGTGGGGGGTCGAACATAAAACTGGCATCCCATATTCCCCCACTGGCCAGGCCATTGTGGAAATGCCCCATCACACCTTAAAGCGGACATTGGAGCAGCAAAGAGATGTCTGAGTCAACACACTGCATCTCAGGTTATGTAAAGCATTGATCACAATCAACTTTCTAAACAGTACATTTGAGAATTTAAATCCTCCAGTGCTGAGGCACTTCAGTCAACATCAACACCTCAAACTTCGACAGCAACCATCAGTCCTGGTCAAGGATCCCTAAATGTGGGAGGTCTTGGGGCCTTTTGAGTTGATCACATGGGGGAGTGGATATGCATGTGTCCATGCCCTCAGGACCAAAGTGGGCCCCGCAAAAAGGGGTAAAACCTTTTCTCCCTATGAATATGAAAAAAAGAGGGATCAAATGTGGCTCCCCAAACCCTGAGCAAATCGAGAGATGTAACAGTAGCTTCCCTTAGGAGGCGCTGGCTCAAGGGAAGCAGTAAACCTCAACCACCTCCGTATCTGGTTTTGAGATTGCGTAAGTTTTTCAGTTTTCCTACTTCTTATTTTTCTTTAAGAGAGCACTGTCCTGTCTTCCATCATAATGTTGAAGTATTTATGGCTCCTGGCTGTGTTAAACCAGTCCTCAGAGGTGTGGATCATCTTTCAGCCCAGGAAGAATGTGTGGATTACTCTGACCAAAACACTTAAACAAGATCACCTGTTGTAGTGCATCTAAAAATCTTGGTACCTCCCAAGGGTAAAACTCACCTCCGTTTTGTGTAATGCTAGTTCCTACCTGAAAACCTTCTTTCGCTCCCCCCCACCTTCCCATTGGCTGTGACCTCCCTGCATCCCCTAATCACCCTTGCCCCCTGGTATAAGAGATAAGACCCAGAGCATTTTGCTCTCTCTCTTGCCCCGGATGGACGACAGACAATAAACCCAGGATTATTCCAGCAAGTTTGAGCCTCCTGTGTCTAGATACTTTGAGTCCGTGTTGTATCCACTCCAGGACCCCCTCCGCTGCCTGTGCCCTGAGACGAGCAGGCTCGCACCATGGCGTGTGGGACAGAGGGGTCCCATCGGGGAGAAGGAATACAACAATCACCTTTGTGTGCCATCACAGAAGAAATACAACAGGGTGGCACCCATCACGGGGCTTTAGAACCCCTTGGGACGGCTGGAAAACACCCCACGGGTGTTTTAACAAGCCTAGGTACTGTCACCTACCCCGCAGTTTTTCTGATGGGGGTCGAGTTGGTAGCTCGGTGAGTACACGAGTCAACTCAGACCGAGAACCTTTTCTTTCTTTTCTTTTCTTCGAACACCGCGCATCCTTCAGGAAACAGGTACTGGGGGGGTCGCTGGGGGTGTGGGAAATCTGGCAATTGTTGTGGGGTTTTTGCGGGGCACGGTGGTGGTAGTGCCAGTGCCAGAGCCTCTCCCTGGTATTGGGACCAGGGGAGTCCACGTGGAGTGGGGGGGGTGCACCGGCAGCAGGTCCTGGGCTCCGTGGTGGTTTCTAAACCCTGACCGCAGTTTGGATCTTTTCTGCTTTTTCGGAGGTAAAAAAAAAAAGGTTAGACCAGCCTGTGTAGTAAAGCCTTAAGATTGCCCATGTCTCTTTTGTCTACACAGGAAAGGAATAAATATTCCCTTATTAAGAATATTATAAAGGCTGTAAATATCAATTTCTCAAAAAATAAGCTGAGGAAATTAGTAAAATGGGTTTTTTTGCATTTTCCAGATTTAAATGTTGATTCCCTGCCTGAGTGGGAAAAGGTTGGACAAGCACTTACTATGCAAGTTGAACTGGGGGACAGCACAGCTGGCGAATACCTCTCCCTTTTCCTTTTAATTCGGAAAACCATCCTACAGAGGAAAAAGCCTCCGGCTTGCTCCTCCCCTCACCTTCCCTCAGCCCCTCCGTCAGAGGCCTTGTCCCAGGCATTACAGGCAGACAAAAACTGCCTGTACCCTTCCCTCCCCGCAGAAAACCCCGAAAAACATAGCTTTAAATCCTCCCTGCAAGGAGGCGAGAGCTCTGCTGAACTTACTCAAGAACATGTGCAGAACCAAAATGGCGCTGGCCACGAGTTACCCGGCCACATGGTGAATCCTCCTCTGTATCCCTTTTCTCCTACCCATGATCCCTCCCACCCACCGGTTCCCGCCCCCAACCCTTATCACAACCCCTTTGTTACTCCTGATGTTCCACC